GGGGGGGGGGGGGGGGGGGGGTTCAAGTTTGAAAATCATGCACTTATTCTTGTTGACACACTTTCTAACATTTATGCAATTGAAGGGTTGTGGAGAGCATTGGCGATGATGTACATGAGTTAACAGAAGGAGACACTGTTATCCCAATATTCTTACCAGATTGTGGAGAATGTACAGATTGCAAATCAAAGAAGAGCAATATCTGTTCAAAATTTCCTTTCCAAGTCTCTCCTTGGATGCATAGAGATGAAACGAGCCGATTTACTGACCTTAAAGGAGAGACTTTATACCATTTCCTATATGTATCAAGCTTCAGTGAGTATACAGTGGTAGACATAGCTCATGTAACAAAGGTTGATCCTGCTGTCCCCCCAAATAGGGCATGCCTCCTCAGTTGTGGAGTATCAACTGGTAAAAAGTGATTTGTTTTTTTTTTTTGTTTGGTCAATAGCCCCTATAACTTGCCCATGATTTCCAGTTTTTCAGTCGACCTCATAGCAAATGTATTATTTGGATTGCAAAACTCATTGTACCAACAGGGATTCTGGTTGGCATGCATAAGTCAGTTTGGATTGTTAAAAACCTATATCAATTTCTCAAATTTCCCCTTTTTGTTGAATTCTTGTCTCAAACATTGACCTAACATTTGTCTTCACAAACTACATATTAAATCCTCATTTACTTGGAGGATATTTCATGATTTCTAAGAGTCTTACATACACAAAAAATATGGACTAGCAGCATCAAATGAAGTGTACATATATACTGCCAGTGAGTTGTTATTTCTACCTGATTTATCTCCATTACACTCCTCACAGATGTAGAAATACTTTCATTTAATTCATAAAATATTTCATACTTTTGTTTGTGCCTGAAAGCATAAGAAATAACAATTAATATTGGAAAAATAATTTCACGTAATTCATGAAATGTTTTCTGCTTTTGTTTGTTTCTGAAAGCATAAGGAATGATAATCAATTTTGGAACAAATTGAATAGCCTTATTAAGTTAAAATAATTATCTAATCTCAAGGTATGTGTCTCATATCAGAACACTGAACTTTTCCTTTTGGCTATTGATAAAATATTTATTTGTTGTTTTACGTCCCCACTGAGTAAAATGACTTGAGCCCATTCAATTAACTATTAAGGCTAATTTTTGTGAAGTATGGTGCAATGCTGTTTTCTAAATCATTTGCCCTTGGTTTAGTTTTTGCCATAGAGTTTGACATTATTAAATACATTATTAAACACAGTTTGAGTTTTCAGGTGTAGGCGCTGCATGGAGAAGTGCAAATATGGAAGCAGGATCAACAGTAGCAATTTTTGGGATGGGGGCGATTGGATTAGCGGTATGATCTTGCAGCTGTTAATCTTTGTCGTCACTCACAGTGGTGCTGATAAGCTTGTTGTAGGTTGCAGAGGGAGCAAGGCTATGTGGAGCTACAAGAATTATTGGTGTGGATGTAAACCCAGACAAATTTGATATAGGTAAATGCAATCTTGTTTCTTTGCGTTGTTTATATCTACAATGAGAAGACTAATGCTAATGAAATAATAGGGAATCCTTCCTTCTGTCAGGAACTTATGCTTTTTGTGATCCTGCATCCTTGATAATGAGATTTAAAGAAAATTTAATAACATCAATACTTATATACATGGATTCGGATTAAATAATTCCTTCACACAGGGAAAAAATTTGGAGTCACTGATTTTGTGAACACTGGAAACTGTGGGAATAAATCTGTTAGCCAGGTACTCATCTTTAAACGCATGATCAGTGTTGAGTTTTGTACTTGCGTATTCTGTCAGAAGTTGACTCATTAGAATGGAATAATAATTAATGAGGAAGTGGATATGCTTCTCATGCCTTGAGATTGTGTGTGGTCTTATTATTTTTGCAAACACGCCAATTATGTTTCTGTACCTATCAAATAATCTGTAAGGGCTGTCACCTGTCGTTGTAATTGATTTCATGTGAGGATTACAAAGAAATTGTTTTCTTCATTTCTAAGAATGAGGATGTGGCAATCCATTCCTTCAAAACCCATGAAGCCATAGGGGGAAAGGGGTGGGAGAGAGAGGACCATTATCATTGTGCATACTGTGTTATTCTGGCAAGGAAAAGGGTATACAGCCTTGCTTCTCGATGACTAACTAAGTTTCGAGAGTTTATGTTGTTCTTTCTCTCCATTATGCAGGTGATAAATGAGATGACTGATGGGGGTGCAGACTATTGCTTTGAATGTGTTGGTTTGGCATCCTTGGTGCATGAAGCATATGCTTGCTGCAGAAAGGTTCTCCTCCTCCCCCCTTCTCTTTCTCTTGCACACACATGCACATGAGCGCATAAATAGTTGCAGATGTGACATTAGCCTACCTCTTAGTGACCTCTTCCGTTAGTACTTCATCTAGGTGTCAGTTTCTTAAGGTTCAACCATGTAAAATTAGAGATGAGTGGTGACATCACAGAAATCCCTTTGGGGGTGGTTGCCCAGCTTCTGGCTGAGGAAAATTCCCAAATATAAGCTTAAATGGAAATAAAATTAGGCCAGATTTGGTGAGCTGGCTCCTGTCAGTTCAGTCAGAATGATCTCACATCAATATGCAGGAATATGAAATTATGACATGCTTGAAGCTATTGGTTAAGGTAGAAAAGTGAGGGAGAAAGCCAATTGATTCGAAACTGACCCACTCGACCCATATTTTGTATTTTCTTCTGGGTCCAATGGCTGGGCCACTGAACGGGGTAAATCCTTCTATAATGATCTACAACCTAAAAGTGGCCAGGCTAGTTGGCAGCTTCCCATTAAGCTCCTTAATTCACGGATAGGGATTGTGGTGATTAATAGATGGATTTTGCATTCTCTTGATCATGTGAAAGGGAAATTTCTCATTAATCATGTCAAATGTAACTTCAGGGTTGGGGCAAGACGATTGTGTTGGGAGTGGACAAGCCAGGGGCACAGTTGACCTTCAGCTCTTTTGAAGTCCTTCATTATGGGAAATCACTCATTGGATCCCTATTTGGAGGTCTCAAACCTAAATCCGATGTCCCCATCCTCGTTAAGCGTTACATGGATAAGGTAATTCTGAAATTAGCAAATTCTTTTTCCTTGAAGTTAATTTTCAAGCTTATGAAGAGATGCTACATGATTCGTGGAAATGCTTTTTCCATCTGTACCAAAGGTGTCAGAACATTGTGAACTGTTAAGAAAATAGGGTAGTATGTGTAAATTGTTAATAGCAAGAGGGTGTATGTGTTATTATTATTATTGTAGGTTAACTATAAATACAAGTTATGTATGAGAGCTAGGTTAAGTTTTTAACCTCTCTGTTTCTCCCAAAATATTGTCTCTAATATTATGTTAATCTTCCAAACTTGACATGGTATCAGAACAAGGTTTACGATCATAAATATATATTCTGAATATGTTGTGGTGGAGTTGTTGGTGGTGGTCTATTGTGGTGGTACTGTGTTTGGCGAAGTTTGGTTGTTCGTAGTGGCACTGTGTTGTCGGTGGTCTGTGTGGTGCCTCTGTGTTCGCCGAAGTTCGATTGTGGTCTGTGTGGTGCCTCTGTGTGTGCCGGAGTTCGATTGTGGTCTGTTGTGGTGTTTCTATGTTCGTCGAAGTTCGGTTGTGGTCTGTTGTTTGTCGTGGTGAAGAGGCATAGTCGAAGAATCTTTGTGGTAGTGGTGCAACTGTGGTGGTGTGCCGCAGTTCTCGTTGTGGTGTGTGGTGTCGTCGAAGACCAGAGGATTTTCTCTGGGAATCCTAATCTCATCGAAGGAGAAGATGTCCAACGGGTTGGGTTGGATCGGGTCAAGTCCATCAACTTAAATTAATTTAAGCCAGTTCAACCCACAGTCCAACCTAGACTCGGTCCAACTTAAGACCGGTTCGGTTCGGTTCGGTTCAGCGGTTCAGGAGGTTAAACCGGCCCGGTTCAACGGTTCAGCAAGTAAAACTGGTTCGGTTCAGCAGAGGGCTCAACCAACTTGGTTTAGTGGTCCAACCCCTATTTCTAGCCTGGTTCAGCCCTCCAGCAAGTCCAACTAGTCCAGTTCAGTGATCCAACCCTTATTTCCAGCCCGATTTAGCCCTTAAATGATGCATTATCTGATCTGGGTTGGAGGAAAGCTATGAAGGAGGAGATGGATGCTTTATATCATAATGGGACTTGGGATCTCGTTCCTTTACCTCCTAGTAAACGAACTGTTGGCTGTCGTTGGGTGTATACTGTTAAATTTCATCCAGATGGTTCTGTGGAACGTCTCAAAGCCCGACTTGTTGCAAAGGGCTTTACTCAAACTTATGGTGTTGATTATGAGGAGATTTTTTCTCCTGTTGCCAAAATTTTATCTGTTCGTATCTTGATTTCTTTGGCTGCTAATCTTGATTGACCCTTGTTTCAGTTAGATGTCAAGAATGCCTTCTTACATGGGGATTTGATTGAAGAGGTCTACATGGAGCAGCCACCTGGGTTTACTGCTCAGGGGGAGTATGGTAAGAGTGTATGTCAGTTAAAAAAATCTTTGTATGGTTTAAAGCAGTCACCGAGGACATAGTTTGGTAAGTTTTCAGATCAGTTTTAGAGTTTGGTCTTCTTCGATGTCAGACAGATTATTCTGTGTTTCATAGGCAGGCAGATGCTGGGTATGTCCTGTTGGTGGTCTATATAGATGATATTGTGATTACTGGAAATGATTATGAGGGGATTGCCAAGTTAAAATTATTTTTACAAGATCAATTTCATACTAAGGAATTGAGAAAACTCAAGTATTTCTTGGGTATTGAGGTGGGTCGATCTAAACAGGGTATTTGTTTATCTCAGAGGAAATATGTACTTGACATGCTTGCGGAAGTAGGTTTGCTAGGTGGTAGACCGATTGATGTCCCTATGGATCCGAATCAGAAATTATTGGTGGATGATAGAGTATTGTTTGAGAATCCGGGTCGGTATCGCAGATTGGTTGGGAAGCTTAATTATCTCACTATTACTCGACCGAATATTTCCTATGCAGTCAGTATAGTAAGTCAGTTCATGGGATGTCCTAGAGTACCATATTGGGAGGCAGTTACTCGTATTCTGCGATATCTCAAACGAGCTCCTGGACTTGGACTGTTATATCGAGCTAATGGACAATTTAGAGTTGAAGGTTTCTCAGATGCTGATTGGGCTGGCTCTTCTTCTGGTCGGAGATCAACCACTGGTTATTGTATTTTCCTAGGAGGTAATATTGTCTCATAGAAAAGTAAGAAACAACCCGTGGTAGCAAGATCCAGTGCTGAGGTTGAGTATAGGGCAATGACACATACGACGAGTGAGTTGACTTTGGCTACTACACTTTTTCCAGGAAATTGGGTTTCCAGTTCAACTTCCTTTACAGTTGTTCTGTGACAACCAGACAGCTATCCATATCGCTGCCAATCCTGTGTTTCATGAGAGAACCAAACATATTGAGGTTGACTGTCATTTTATTCGGGACAAGATAGTAGTTGGGGAGATTACAACTCTATTTGTGAAATCTGAAAATCAGCTTGCAGATATGTTTACCAAAGCATTAAGTCGTGCACGTCTTACAGCTATTTGTTGCAAGCTTGGATTATATGATATATATAGTCCAGCTTGAGGGGGAGTGATAAGAATAATAGGGTAGTATGTTTAAATTGTTAATAGTAAGAGGGTGTATGTGTTATTATTATTATTGTAGGTTAACTATAAATACAAGTTATGTATGAGAGCTAGGTTAAGTTTTTAACCTCTCTCTGTTTCTCCCAAAATATTGTCTCTAATATTATGTTAATCTTCCAAACTTGACATGAACTATGTCATTAAGCAATCAACAGTCCTGGAAGGAATAAAGAGCGGCATTTTTCAGAGGATGTGATTACCCAGTCAACTCACTCTTTCGTTTTTTTTTTTCACTTTTCAGGAACTAGAATTGGATAAATTTGTGACACATGAGGTGAACTTTGATGATATTAACCAAGCTTTCGATTTGCTTCTCGAAGGAAAAAGCCTCCGATGTGTGATTTGGATGGACAAATAAATAAGTTCCTCTTATACTTTTTCCTGGGAAAAAAGAATAAGATCCTCTTGTGGTATCCTGTATGTCAATTGAACTCTATGTTGTTATGTGCCTCACTATAACAGCTCTAAAATAATTGTTGTTCACTTGAAAAAGACTAGTTTGAATCAAATTCTTTGACATCCTAAATATGTTGGCTGAATGTGTATTGTTCATGTGTCTACTAGGAGTGAATATAGATTTACTACATTGTTGAATTAAGATGCATGTAAAAGCATTGGATTTATAGGTGTGAAGTAGTTATTGGGGATTGTTTAATGACCTAGAGTGCATAAAACCGTAACACTCATCCAAGCGGTGTTGCCCAACCTGCATCTAAGCATTATACTGGTCAAACAGTTTAAATTTACGTGCTTTTAATTCAAGTTATGAATTTTATTAGGACAAAATTGGACAAAAAGCCCTAACTACGCCTGTTTATAAAAAAGTGTAACAAGAAAAAGGAGCAAGTAAAATGGAAGGAAACTAATTGCGGAGAGTTCTGTTTTACATTTATAATAATGTTTTCAGTTGTAGCCAAACAGACATAATTGGAAAAGAAAACATATATTCTTTGCTTTGCATCTTCTTTCAAGACACTGTAAATGCACTGGATGCACCGGTGAAGTACTGGTTGGGGGATTCCTCTGTTTTCTTTGATGACCCAAAGTGCCTCAGCCGGTAAGTTCCAGGGCTAGCCTCTTCTGGCACTTCCCATTCAATGGTTGCTAAGCTGTAAATGTAACTGTTATCTTGTTTCCACTTAAAATACAAGCAAAAATCATCATCATCATAGGTTGGTACCCATGCTTTCCCCTGAAGCATCTCCACGCTTGCAAAGGTGCCTTCTGTTAACAGGTCATATCTCGGGTTTGCAGTCCAAAAGGTGGCACTTGGCCTATCCCCCTTTCTAAATGAGCCTCTCTTTGGTGGAGTTATGTCTTGCTTAATGTCGCCGAAGTGTTTGCCTGGTGGAGGCGAGTCACCAGTAAGGTTACTTAAGAAGCTCCATAGGACAGAGGAGAGATTCGGCGGAAATAGCCCTATCTGAACAATCGGGTCTCCTGTTGCCATTGATTTTGCAACTTTTTTGAATTCTTGGATATATGCTGAAAGTGTATGAGGACCGTAGAGTGTCGATGCTGCCTGTGCAAGTTCAAATTATGCATTGCAAGTCAATTTTGGTTTGTAGTAGATTCTAACAAAAGATAAAACATTAAACACCCATGAGTACTATAAAGCATATGTGTGATTATTATGTGCTTACCTCATATCTTTGCTGCTTGTATTCTTCAAAAGTTGCAACGTACTGCGAGTAAGTGTTGGTTAGGCCTGCTATTACAATGTGGGTTTCTTCATCAAATTCCCCCTTTCCATATGTTATCAGTGTCTCTTTAACTGCCTCCCTCAGTCTTCGGCCAGCCATTGTTGTGAACTCTGCAATTTGTGTTTAGTAATAATCATGAAATTAGCCATGGCAAAAAAATTTAGATCATTGGTGAAATTTGAGGTTAGCGATAGTAATAACGAACCTCCAGGTATGGACAATATGACTAGTTTTCCCAGTCTGAGCATTTGAATTGGAAGAATTGCCGGCTGCATTTATATCCCTTGTGTTAAAAACTTTGGGGTGAGATGATAATTCAAGGCTAAAGTGAATATATAATCAAGCATTAAGCATTACCGCCCAAGCGTAAGGGAAAAACATTTCGCCCGTTGAAAGCAAAACAGCCTTTGGCTTTTGGCATTCTACTTGGTATTGGCTAGGTTCTTGAAGCCAATCTCTTACTTTTCTCCAAAACTCATTGATCTGTGGATTAGGACTTTCAAGTTAGAACTCAATACGTGAGTAACTTGGGCAGATTACTAAACCCCATATTTCAATTCAAATTATGTAATAGAGTTGAGGAGTTCAGGTTTAATTTGACTTTAGATTGAGAGTTATATAGTTTAGATTGAGTTTCATAGAAGGGTCGATGCTAACCTCCGTATCCCCTTGTTCAAATCCAAACACACCAGGCCCATCCGTAGTTCCAGCTGCAAAACCTGGGCCTAAGGCAGCAGGACATGTTTTGACCACCTCGTTTCCCTCTAATTGAACCTCAAGATTAGTAAAATTCAAATATACATGGCGATAATCTATTTTTCCAGTTAACTCTTCTTTTGCAGATGTGAACAGATCAACTGCCTTTCGGAATTGCCTCTCTCCCATGATCTTTGTGCTTAGTATTTCATCCGGGTACCTGTGACAAAAATAATATACAAATCACATCTTAATTTTCTCCATTAGATCCAAATTCAAATGAAAGGGGCATACCCTGGACCGCGGCCCACACAAAGCGTGTCATTGCCGTGGCATGAGGAGTGATTAAAATCACAGGGCAATCCACTATCAGTGCAGAATGCTCCAAGCACGTTGGGGCTGACATCTCCGACGTTTGATTGACAAAATGCTCCGACAAATAGTGACCCGTCGTTCTTCCTCACTTTGAATCCTTGGCTAGTGGTATTACTGCAAGGTTGTCCTCCCGTGGCTTTGATCTTTGCCGCCTTCTCTAACAAACCTCTATTATCTGTCACACACACACACACATTTATAAAAAAAAAAAAACAAGGTTCATTGATATATCATGGTTTTGATGGATCCAGATTGGCCAATAATTATGGTGCAGGTGAATTGAACTAAGTCGGCTTGCGACAATTCGAACATGTGCCATTCATTCGAGAAGAGAGTTTGTGTTAGAGGTTGGGTCGTGATAAGTTTTAAACATCTTGTTAAAATTTGACTTGTTGATTTTCATTTCGAATCGAGCTCAACTCAGTTTGGTTCAGCTCAACTTGTTTGGTGGTCAAACTGAGCTTAAACTTATGTTTGCGCTTAAATTTGGGTCTATACTTATGTTCATAATTAAACTCAGCTCAGTTATATATTCAATTTATTAGTTATATGATATTATTTATTGACGATCCTAGACGAACTAAAATCGAATCCCATACTCGTTTATATATTTGTTGATGAGCCTTGATGAACTGAACAATCCATCCCTAAGCTTAAGTAGTTTGATATACTGTGTTTTATTAGTTAGGATTCGTTCATTTTATAAATGAACAAACTTTAATTCAAGCGAACATGAGCAGTTTATGAACAATCCGGTTCACTTGGATCCCTACTAACACCCTGGCAAAGGGATAAATCAAGCATGTAATAAAGTTGAAAAAAATTACTTAGTTTTTTAGAGTAGTTGTTGATTGGTGTGGAGGCATTTTTAGAGGTGGAAGTGAACCAGTCCTCGAAAAATCTAGCAGCAGCACCCTTGTTGTCTCCACTAATGAACTTGTTGTCTCTGCTCATAGATGTTCCATGTGTTGCAAACCAGGTGAATGCTCCAATGCTCTTCCCATTCTCTGCATCTACAAACTTCAAAAGTGTCATTAGGGTATCAATGTCGCGTGGATAACGGGCTCTCTCCTCTGGAGGGTTGAACAAATATGCACTCGGACTCCTATTTATTCCCGCATTCTCCAAATCCCCTACACACAAACAAAAAATCACGGTGTTTTACTACGTGTTTTGCAGACAAAAACGTGAATTATGGCATGTCATTGTGCGACCGAGTGTGTATTGAGAAATAAGCTAAAATAAAGAGCAGAATGATCATTTCTTCCATTTACCATCAAAACGGTCGTCAATATATTGTGAATATTTGATTACTGATTTTATAGAAGTGTCAAGTATGATTAGTTGTGTATCGGATTTAGCTAGATTGTTTGTGAGAATTGAATTTCAAAAAGCCAACATGTACGATTAAAAACACTTGTATCATAATGTTTTGCATGCTGTGTTGGAAAAGAAAACTAGTGAGCTAAGTGATCATCATCCATATAATTAAATGTGATGCACACCTGTGTTGATAAAAATGGAGCCAGGCTTGAGATTATCATGAGCCTGGGCAATGCTGAGCTCGATGGCAGTGATAATGGCGTCGAATGATTGTGGTACAAAGCCGAGAGACGTTACGGAGTAAATCACATACTGTAAATAGCCCCCTGGACCAGCGTGAGTATGGGTGCCACTGATTGCTACGTTCTCTTCATTATACAAATCTCCATACCTTCATGAACACATCATGAAATAGATGGTTTCATTTCAAGTGTCATCATTATTCAAAATTGGCTCGGATGGAGTTGGCTCATGTTTACCTTTTCTGAAGTCTCTGCAGCACTTCAATGGTGAGAAGCTGTGAGGCCATTCCTGCATCAAGGTTGACGAAGGCGAACCTTGGACCATCAGAGCTCTGGGCTACGATGAAAGTCCTTGCTCTGAGCCGGAAATGTATACCGGCCGTGTTCTGATCAAAATTGCCATAACCCATCATGTTCACTCCCCCAGCTGGACCTGTCATGTCGTAGCTCCCCACTCCGATTAAGTAGTCTCCATTGGCACCAAAGATCAGTGCAGAAATAACAACTAGTGTGTAAAAAAAGTAATGAAGGGTTGGGTGTCCATACATTTTGGTGCTCATGGTTAATTTCATTTGCTTGGGTAAGGAGTTCGATTGAAGTTATATATACAAATTGCGATCGGCTCAGAATTTCTTGTAATATTAACTGTTGTTCCTAGTTCTGCCCAAAAAATAAAAATTCTGTTGTTCTTGGTGAACTGGCTAGTCAGCTTGTTTTGTCGGTCTGTGAGGAGTTTGAGTTGGACAAGAGCATTCTTGGGTTCCTCCGAATGTTGGGAGTTTTCACAAAGCATGCTATTGTCTGCTTACATATGCATATATGTAGCTTATTGGGGTAAGTTTGTCACTATCTCTTTTACTTGTATAACCAATTAGGTGTAACTAAATTACCAATATATATGGATTATTATAAAATGAGACATGTTCTAACAGGCTAACCATTAAGCAATTTTCTTACATTTGAAGGATAAATCTTTGTAGTAAGTTTGTGATATATGTGCAACCAATACACCACAACCCGGTAGTGGGGAAGTTTCTGGACTGAAGATGTGACGTCCAGCCAGTGAGCCGCTTTGTTGCACTCCTAAGTGTTTTGAGAAAAAGTAATGTGTATCCTCCTGCTGCATATCCTGATGTCTTCCATAATAACTGATATTTCGCAAGGAAGTGTATCTTCTGCTGAACTCATCTTGATCACTTGAGCATTGTCGCTTTCAATATTAATTGATGATATTAAAAATTAGTCAAGTCTAAACTCGACGCAATAGCAACTTGGGAGATCGCCCCCCAATAGGAGCCAGCATGATGATGTTAGAATCTGGATTCCACTCAAGGCTCACCTTTCGCTCCCTAGCTTCCCAGGTCGTTACCATAGCTCAAGTCTTTGAGTTCAGACCTTTTAACTCAGAGACTCCAGCTTACGAGACGCAGATTAGGAATCATCACTAACATGACCCTCGTGCACATTGTGACAGTGATAGTTCACATTTTCTAGAAAGTCACATCACGTCCAAAGTTTATAACTTCTAACGGCCAAATATTCTGTATTATGGGTTGTAACAACTCCAAATAAATCACGTTGATTACGCAAAGATCACCACCATTGCACAAGGATCACGGCAGTCATGCAGGAATCATGTTGATCGCGCGAAGCTTCTACGTGATATAAATAGGGGTCAATCCCTCGTTTTGTAAATAATCGACACTCGGCAGTGTTGTAATTTTCTTTCCCAAATAATAGCAAACCTCCTAGGAGCAACAGACTTTATTAAAGTGGAATAATCAAGTTTTCGGGTTAGTGAATCACTATAAATATCTTATCTATCGGTTTCCACTAATTGTTATTGTCTCTTTAATCGACTAATCATTACCACGAGCCTAGCAGCTTTGATTGAATGTCCCAATGAATTCCCATTATCGTTCCTAATGAATCTCAAATCCATTTCCCCTTTATTGATCCCAGAGCTTAGCCACTTAATTGTGTAGACCACACCATCAAATAATATTGTTGAGTTGCAGGGTCATGGCTATGAAACAAGTTTCTCTTACAACCATTGCTTGAGAAAAAGACTAGAAACCGATGAAAGCATGTAATGATGAGATTTTGAGCTGATCTTTGGCATGGCCAGGTATTATATATAAAACACCACCTAAGAAGACTTGCAAATGATTCCAACGGAAAAACCCTAATTAGCTAAGGTGATTTACAACAATAAGTTTAATTTTAAACTACCTAAAGAGGGTAATCAAAAATGAACATGGGTGGGTTCTTCTCACAGAATCTACCACCAATCTTTTTGATTTCTTCTACTTATTTGGCTAGCAATCCCTATATGAGAGGGTAGCTCCACCTGATTGAGATAGGTGATATTAGCCTACCCAAAGTATATATTAAGCCTTTCATAAATCCTGAAATTCACATGTAACTGAATCGAGCTTTCGAGAACCTTAGACCCTACACCATACCAGTGTCCCTAATCACCTCTATACATGTTGCAATTCTAAGAATTCTCCACATCAATGTATTAGGTGGGTGGTTTCCATACTTTGACCTCTTGGGAAGAACAACCACAAAATGAGAGACTTGTAGCTAGACGGCCCAGTCCTCCTCAACAATGGATACAATCAGGCATGCAAGCTAACCCCCAGCAAGCATATATGGATAGTCTGGTTCTCAACGCAGCTAATTAACGACAATATCATTGTCTGATTGGCCTAGACTGCCTAGTCATCACCGCTATGAAGAACATCACTAATAGTTTTTTATTTCCTTGTTGTAGATAAGGATCTAAATATTGAAATAAAGTTCAAAAGGTGGAGATGAAGTAATTTATGAAATCTGCCAATTGATAAGATGGACCACTGTGACCACTGGACCTATTTAAAGCTGATATAAATATAATTTGAAGTGTATGTATAAGTATGAACCATTCAAAAACAAATAATAATGGAGCTCAGGATAAGGGGGTCACCCCCTCAATAAAAAAAGGTAGCAATTTTTTGTCAGCAAAGACCAAAACGACGAGAGGCAGCTCTCAGATGGACTAAGCCAAAAATCCACGCAGACTTCTAGCTTATCCAGTTCCTAATCTTGAAAAAAAAAAAAAAAAAAAGTTCATGATGACACATGCCGTTGCAATGTTAAAACAAAAGAGAAATCACTGTAAAAAAAACGTCACATGGCTGCTAGCACTCGCTAGAAATCAGACACACTAAACAGTTGAGAAAAAGTGGAGAGTGATGAACCCTGTTTCCTTGTTTCTAACCCGAGTTGAAATAAAAATAAGGCATCATCAAAAGTAAGAAAATGCTATTATTATTATTATTATAATATAATTTAGAGAGCCAAATTAAATGCCTAATCTATTATAACCGGCACTTCTATGCTGCCCAAGTCTTAATTCAAATCTTATATCTCAAAAGCATATGCCCCACCCACCCATCCACCCACACATTTCACTTTATGGGTTCCAAAAAATCAATTTACGTATGGTGTGATGCACATGCATTTGGAATACAAGACTTGGACATTTTTCCCATTATAACGAGTAAATTAAAATTAAGTTATATATAACATTTGAACTCACAATTTATTTAAAAGTTAAGAATTCGGTGACCTAAAATAAATGATTAATCTATTACTGTAACTATTGGATGAAAATTAAGTCACATATTACATTGGAACTTACAAAAAAAATATATTATTTTACAATTGTTTTCTATTTAAGTGTAATCCATTTAAAAGCTAACAATTCAAGTTCCTTTTTTATTTTTTTTTTAGCAGGCAGCATTGGAAGGGTCATTGAATATGAAATTAAGGTACAAACCCTGCTTAGTGTCATTAGCTTTTCAGGAAGTTCGAAGGGCAAAACCCATAAATATTACTAAGATCTTAAAATCTCAATTAAATCAACGAGTTGTATCAGGAAATCATGTTCAATAAAAATTCTTCATTCATGCCGGACGGAGGACGTTAATGCTCATTCCAAAGTTTATGCCTCAATTTCTTCGCAAGGGGCCACCTGAGGCAAGGGTCCCATCAATTAAATGAGTATGTATCTAATTGCAGCTGAATATTGATCTACGTGGATTAATAGTTGCAGCTAAGGCATGGATTTGACACCGTACAATTTTTCTGATTTTTTTCGTTGAATAATGCTATAAATATTTAATTTAATATAATTATTGAATTAATTATAAATTTTAATATTAATCTTTTTTCATGAGTAAATTCTTAAATTTAACCCTCAAAACTTTTTTTTTTCCAATATCGCAAACAAGGACACTACTCAAATGTGATATAAACACTGACAGAACTTTAATTAGGCCCGTCCTCAATTTCAATTAGGAAAAGTATCTCGGCGTGGGGGAAGATCACATCTAAAACTCAAAAACTAATTGTGAATCAAAATTACAAACGAAGGAAGCAATCAATCCATTAACAAAATTATATCGACATGAAAACTTCCGATATATATATATATATATATATATTACCAAGCGTATGAAAGCCTGTTATATATCAAGCAAACTGCAACACAAAGGCAACAAACGAGAATTTAATAACAATCCAAACATCACAACAATGATGACACTCACAAACACAATACTTAACAGTGTGGTGCGCATTACTTTCCTTCTTCTTTTCCCTTCTCTTTTTCATCTTCGGTCTTTGGGTGGTACCCAGGAATCTTTTCCTTTATCTTCTCCATAAAACCCTTTTTCTCCTTGGCCTCACCGTCAGGGGAGCCGTACTCCTCCGCCGGTGGTGGTGGTGGTGGTGATGGAGGCACCTCTTCTGTCTTCTTGTGTCCACCTGGTAGTTTATCCTTGATCTTTTCTAGGAACCCTTTCTTTTCCTCTGGTTCACAAGTTGGCTCTGCAACATTGACTGGTACTGGTTCTTCGTATTTCTCGATTGGCACGGCCGTCTCTTCGTACTTCTCAACCTTGTCTTCTTCCTTGTGATCTCCTGATATCTTTTCCTTGATGTTGTCCTTCAATTTCTTTTTCTTCTTCTTCTCTCCTCCCTCTTCCACTTCTTCCTCATCGCTTGACTGTAAAATTTTAAAACAACCAAGAAAATTCTCATCAGCTTAATCAGAAGATTAATCGACACTATATATATATATATATATATATATGGACCAATTGATTAAATTTGCATGTCATACAAAAGTAAAAACCTTTTCAATTTCATTCGCAAACAATAACTCCACGTAACGAAAGTGATCATATGCAAAACCCATCAAAAGTCTAATAATGATGGAAAACTTACAGAGCTACAGCTGCTGCCGGATCGGTGGAGCTTCTCGAGAAGGCCATGCTTCTTTTCTTCTTCCTTGGGCTCTTCTTTTACCTCTTCGTATTCTTCGTTCTTCCTCACAGGTTCAGACACATACACCTTCTCGAACTCCGAGCCGATCTCAGTGTTCGATCCGATCACCTTCTCTTTGGGCTCATTCTCTTCTTTTTTCTTCCCCAAGAAATCAAACAACCCACGATCTTGGGTCTCAACTGAACTCTCCTCAGTCTCAGTCTTGATGATGGTGCTCCCGCTCTCATCGGTCTTGGTCGCCGGGTAGATATTGTGACGAACTTCTTCGGCCATTCCGTTTAGGATTAGCTAGAATATGAAAACAAACAACTAAACTTAACGAGCAAGTATGTGAACGAT